CAAATATTTATATATGTTTAGATGTATATGTATATATTGTTCGTTCAAATTTGTACGCCTATTTGTGTGTGTGTGTGTGTATGTGTATGAGTGCGTTTTTTTTTTTTTGTCTTATCGTTGTAGCAGTGTTTCATTTCTCTGGAATTTGATGATTTTTGTTAAACATTTTTTATTGTTACCAGTTTATTGCCAGCTTGTTAACAACTCTAAACACAAATACATTGTGTGGCATGGCTTAATTTTATGGTTTGGTTTACTGGTTTGCTTATTCTCTTTCTCCATTGTAGCACAGTGACAAATATAAAGCAACATACCATCCAATGACTTATCAGGTCAAACTCGCCCACTACCCTTTATAGCGTTTAACGTTCCAACAAACTAAAGTCATTTAGTCAGTAGGTTAACCGTTTCGTTTTCATTAAAAAATTTCTACAACCGAAACATTTCTATTTTATTAATTGCAGAACATTAAGTAAGACTTTATTACTAACGGTGCAGAAGTACCACATACGTAGCATTGCATTATATAGATAGAAAAAAAAAAAAACCTTGTAAAAGAGAATAGAATTTTTAAATGCAGTGAAAACACTATAACAAACTACAAGCTTCAACTCGTAATCAAATCCACGCGTGAGAAAAAGTTTTGCAAAAATTCGATTGATTTACGCATTCGTCGTGGAATAGCTTTCATTATCTTTTTCTTATTGAGTTAAGCAACAACACGGTAGCGGTTTCCCGAGTAAATGAGTCAGGCACTTTTATACTACCAACTTTATTAAGCCAGGTCAAAACGACTGCCCATAAATTGTATAGATTAGATTATTATATGGAATATATGTGGAAAAATTTTACAAACGCATGTCTCCGGGAAATGTCAGATCGTTTCCCTTACCATCTGGAAATGTAATCTTCGTAGAAGTCAGCCCGTTAAAAAAGGCAAGTCATCTCATCGCTCCTGTTGCAGAGCATTTATTCCAATTATGTCGTGCGAAGAAGTCAGTGGGTCTATCCACTACCCAGGCATCAGTTCAAGTGATCAAAAAATTCGTTTTTGCCTTCAAAATAAATTTCTTGTATTCACCACCCCACAGAATTATGTGCCCTATGAAGTTCTATAAACGTGCTCATGATTGGCACAAACGGGTGAGCAAGTATAGCAAGTCTTTACTACACACGATTTTGAATGTAAATATGAAATAAATAACAACAATAACAACTAAATAACGTAGTAAGGGCCATCTTCAAGGAATTAAATTAAACTGAAAGTTATTAGTTAGTCCGGAAATTTTTTGCGGTCTTTCCCGACACAAGGTTAAAATAACTTCTTTCAGGCAGCTAGGCAGACAATTAGGGCTAAAAACATACATAGTTATGTAGAGCAGTCTTATGTTTATATTGTAAAAAACTTTCAAACTGATCGGTTATTTTATAACAGTGAGACAGAAGCAAGTAAGATATATTTCGCTTTTTTATTTCAACAAAGATAAAAGATCTGCAGAAATTCATAGAGAAGTATGTGCTGTCTCTGGAAAGCCATAGTAGAATTCACTTGCGAGAATTCGTTTACGGAATTGCGTTCTGGAAATTTTCAATGAAAGATCTAACGCATTCTGGTAGGCCAATTACCATTGATGACGACGAACTAGGGGTTCCGATTGAAGCCGATCGACGCATAACAATTCGTTAGATTGCAGAAAAATTTAACTCATCCGAAACCATATATAAAAAGAAATTATTTTATTTCATAGTGAAAGACCGGGCTTCCGTTTTAACTTTCAGTTAAAACCAATTCACAATATTTCACGGCATTCGGTTATTCGCCAATTGATATTTCGTTTCAGTTAACTAAACGGCAGGCAGAACACATAAAAGAAATCAGCTACTAAAAGTAATCATATGATTAACAAAATTAAATCAGAAAAATTATGAGAAAACGTTGATAGCGGCCAAAAAGCCAATTAAAATTCGTAAAAATACAATCATAATAATTTAACCGACAGTTAGCAAGCTATATACCATTGGTAAGCAAATAAATCAATTTTCATTTTAGAGAGTCTATTTAAAAAGTCTCTTTGTTAGTGAAGTTTGATTTTAAATTGACATGTTGACAGGAGTCTTAAGCAAAAACATTCATTATGCGGCCGAGTCTTTTATACAAACTACTTTTAACGTTAAAAAAAAAAATAAATGAAAACAAGAATTACAACGAAAAAATTGAAATTTCTTTACTTTAAAGTGCTGGATAGCCATAACCTATTTTTTTGTTCGCTTAGACACATCCCCAATAGAATATAGTAGGTAATCTTTACTATTGCGTGGATTGTAGCTTACTCAACAAAAACAGTTATGATCCTCGTTCATGTTGTAAAGTAGCAGTCTTTTGCTTTGCATAATTTGGCCTCATTTTCGATATCAAACTGGTTGTGTGAACTTTCATGTTCACGCCAAGCGAATTACTTAATTTTTGCCATCGAGAGTATCTTTACCCATACCCCTCATGTGTAGCCGGGTGAACGAAATGACAAGCCTAAGTCGAACGACCGAACATTTGTTGTATATGCTTTTTTGATGCATCATGCGATCTCTGAAGCTTTCTTCTGTCTGTATCAAAAGCACTGACAAAAGAAGTAAATCGCTCGTGATGGATATATATGTATACTATAACATATAATATGGGAAATATATAATAAAGTAAAATAAAAAAAATGAAAGAGAAAGTTTTGTAGACAACAAATTTTCTTAAGTAAGTGGTTAGCACTCCGTATTAACTTCAACGTAAATGGAACTTTCTTGTGCAGTTTGTCTCAACATTTACGCAAGATCTGAATTTGCCACCATTTGTGCGATAAAATATTGGCAATCCAAAATATGTAGTAGTTAGACAGTTGCCAGGTTAGCATTAGTAAAAAGGCAGCATTGCCCGAGAGCGACAATCGTATTTCAAAAATTTATGAAATTTAAAAACGTGCCTATGCGCCAGCAAAATCGTAAAGGCCGTTTGCCTGATGTGCTATTCTACACCTAACCCTATCCTATGTACAGCTTAATTCAATAAAAAGGTTACAATTAAAAAAAAAAAACTCTGTTTTCTACTTGATTCAAATTTTGATACGCTCTCTATATATCAAAAACTACAAGTATTATTAATCGGATCATCAAGTTGTCTTACAAATATATATATATATATATTGTTTGTATCAGAGATGGGCACAAGCTAGCTAAGCAAAAGTAGTTAGCAGTACTATTCTCAAATCCGTTGTGGAAGCCGAGTTTTAGGGATATATTTAAAGATATCATTACGGAGATCGCACTGTAAGAAGAAAAAATCCACCGCCTGACTATTTTCTCGCAGCATCAGTAGCAAGGTCAACATTATCATATCATTCTCTTTGCTCATTGAAACCATCATTACGATGTACAGGTTTTAAAAAACAATTTCGACCTTAAACGTGGCCTTTTCGTTCTCGTATGAAAATTAGATAAAGTGATCTTTACGCTTGCTTACTGATGTAAAACTTGTCGCTGAATCTGATGTGATGTTACGTACACACGTAGTCAGTAGTTCAGGTCGTGACAATATATGGAGATACGCAATAGCATGGTTACGCTTACAAACCAATTTGCTTATGTGGAGCTAATATAAATCATCGATCTAAGACCATCATCAGTACACTTTTCATTATTAAACGGAATCATTACTAAATTCGCTTCAGTGAAACCATTTAATTTGATGTGATCGTGAGAAATATTTATAGAGTTTTATAAATCGCTTTTTACAAGTTTGACAACAAGTTTCGTAAGAGTTAGCGGACAACCTATACAACGGATAGTTCTTACGACGTTGCCAAATGTGAAGTATTATGTATGATAGGAAATGTAGTACTCTCCGCGTTTAATTAGGCAAATTTAATAGTATGATACAGCACAAGCTTTGATAGTTTAGCTATATTTCATCTTATCAGTTTTACTTTACGTGGAGTGGTCATTAATTGTAAATGCAACTATGTTATATGACAGGGTTGAAAATGGGTTAATAACAAGTTTTTTCGGAAATACGAGGAATAGAAAAATAAATTCTTTGAATTTATAACCAGATTTAAGGGACATTTTTGCAGATGACTTCAGAAATGATATTTTAAGAAGAAGAAGAGCTATGTTTTCCTTGCTTTAAATACGTTTATACGTTTGACCCCACATACATGTGTGAAAGGGCGTAATAAGAACGAAACATGTTGAGTCGGCAAAGTCGAGAAATGGAGTCTTTAGTCCAATTTTATCTGTGATAAGGTATTTCCTGAACTTTAGGAAACTTCAAATGCATTTAAAAGAATTTAATTTCTATTTATTTTATTTTGAGGAGAACCCAACCACCGACTAATTGTCTCATAACTGAATTATAAGTAATATTTTTCATGAAATTGATACCATAAACTTAACTTCAAATAATATTTAATTAATTTAATTATTTAACTAATAAAACGCAGTCGCTTACAACTGCCAAATAAGCATAGAATTACTTATATAACACTTTATTAATTGAATAAGGAACAAAAAATAGATTAAATAATATTATGATGCGTGCATTCGGATTCACTGACCGAATCACAGAAGAGCGCAAATGGGAATAAAGATAAACAGTTTTACAAGCGAAATAAAAGTGATTGAATAATTAATTCATAGTTAAAGCGATGGAATGATAAATTTGTAAGGATATAAATTAATAAATTAATATGGATGCGAATTCCCTTATTAAGTCTTAAGCCGAAAATTAATGCCCATGAAAGCCCACGAAACGTATATAAATAATCCGGCATCTATAAATCATAAATTGCAAACGCTTTAAAGAATAGCTCTTCTGATGGAATAATTTGTTTTTACAATGACATGATACTGGTGGCTTTCAAATGTAATTTCTATCAGATATTTTCTAATTTCCAGGCTAGGCAGGTCTATGAGCCAAGTTAATGTTTTTCGTTTGCTTTTGTTGTCTTTAATTTCAGAGGGCCGAGAATGTGTCAACTGCGGAGCCACATCAACGCCTCTCTGGCGACGGGACGGTACTGGTCATTATTTGTGCAATGCCTGTGGTTTATATTACAAGATGAATGGTCAAAATCGACCCTTAATTAAGCCAAAGCGAAGACTGGTAAGTTTCATTGGACATACGAGCTGAATACGATGCGGAATAAAATTTTTTTTAAAGATTTTTTTTTTAAGCATAACTTACCTTTTAATGGCGTACTATAAAGCCAAGAAGTTAATAATGCACAATCTGCCACATATATATGCTTAAAATGAGACCTGATTTTGGTCTTCGCAGAAGGGATATCGCTTTCACGAATGAATTTTTGTTCTCCTTATTTCATAATTTCCTTTTTTATTTTTTGTTAGTTTGGTAAACTTTTAGGTACTTTTGCCTAAGCTCTTTGCATTCTTAAGCTTTCTAAAAATGTTATGCTTTCTAGATCCTTGCGATGTTCGGAAATCTTTTATCAAATATCGAGATTTTCGTCCAAAAAAGATAAACTGCTTTAGCATAAACAACATCTTCGTCTAATAGTAGGAAATATCCTTATCACATTTGATCGCGTTCAGGTTTCCTGGCAAATTCTTTAAAGTGTTTTGGAAATGTTTGAACTCGAATTTGTTCCTGTAACTTCTTCAAATAAAATAAATTTTTCTTTGAAGGAACTATTGATTGACGATCAGGTAAAACCAAGTCCGTTAAATGTCAACTTCTCCTTTAATTGAAAATATGAAAATTTGGTCTTGACTTTAGTTATGCTTTCGAATTTATTTGCGAAATTTTTAGAAATAACGAATGTTCAAACTTAGGCGCTGTAGAAGTAAAAATCAGTTAAAGGATTTTTAAATCTCTTCTAAATACTAAATTTAATAATTCCGCTTCTAAATAGTTCCAAGTAAGCTGTTGACAAGAGTTCCAGACAAATCATAATTGCGTTAATGCTTTGGTTATACTTTTATATATTACAACATATATATGTTTACATGTGTAAGTTTAGGTCTATGCTATAAATCACATTTTGTTGATTTGACTCCATAGCCGTTTTATTAAAAAAAAAAAAGGAAAAAAAAATCTGACATTTTTATAAAAATTGTCTCCAAAGGTCATAAAATCCTCAGCATGTATGCTCTCAAATATCATAACATTTCCAGGAATTGTAAGAAAATATCGAAACAAACAAAAAAAAAAATGATAACCACTGATGGAGGTGCGATGGAGGAGATCGTATGAGACACAATTGTAAATTTAAAATGCAAGACTGGGTATATAGATAAACACACATGCACACGCTAATTAACATTTTTATACACAAATATGAACTTATGTATATATGTATGTATGCATGAAGTAGATAGGTATGAATGCATAGAACAGTAAACCCTTTTTCTGATCATTTTCCACCTTTTGTTGCATTTTGGTTATCGTTTATGAAAATTAAAGCTTAATTTTATCTATTCGACAACAGCAGTAACAGAAGAACGGTGTGGCGCCTAAAAAACAAGGTAATCAAAAAAAGTTTCAAGTTGACAATCAAGAGTAATAAAAAAAAGAAGAAACATGCCTGCTTGCCTGCCTGCCTGCCTGCTTGCCTGCACAAGTTCATATGATGACATAAAGACGTCCTGGGAAAAAAAGTGAAGTTTAGCTGTTTAATGATAACAGCTACGGCAATAACAACAAGAACAACAACAACAATAACGCATATGTACAAATACAGCTTTTAGTTTATTGTAATGCTGGCATTTAAGGTGTGCAGTGGTGGTGACGCTGATGGTGGGTGATTCACTGATGCTATACTATTCGTTCAAGTATCAAAAAGATAATCGCTGATGGACTATAAATATTTAACTTAATTTTATTAAGAAACTTGCTGCCATAAGGCCGATGTTTATAGTACTCCTACTAAAATTACGTTTCTTTTTATTTTAGGAAATTTGTTTTGTTTTTTTTCTCTCTTTCTTTTTTCTTTTTTTTTTTTTGTTTGAATTACTTTTGCTTCCAAGTTATTTGAGCTTGATTTCTCAGCATTTTTTTCCTCTTTTTTTTTTTTTTTTTTCTTTGATTGCATAACATTACCATAAGTGTGTAGGTATGTAGATATTACCATATTATTATAATCTCACACATTGTCTCAAAGAGCGTTAACCCATAACGTAGAGTGTCTTACACATTTCATCATATAAGTGCGTGCATGCGTGCGTACGTTCGTATATTTATGTATATGTGTGCATGCGTGCGTTTGTATATAATACTGACTATGCATAGTGTATGAATATCTCTACGATTGTTGGCGCGAGTAAATGACGCCTGCTGTTGTTTCTTTTATTGTTGGTAATATGGTATTTTGGAGTATGACTTTCATGAGGAGATTCCCATGAAATTCACAGCTGGACGCAGTGTGTTTGTTGACAATTCTACTGGACTCGAAGTTTTCTTTTTTTCTTTTCTTTTTTTTTTTTTTTTTTTTTACATAAGTTTTAAATTCCGCGTGTGTGTTGACAAAATATACAACAAATTAAAATTTATGCGATTTGCTTGCTCTCTCTCTTTAGCCTAATAACGCTTATTTTCTTCTTCTTCGTCCTCATATTCGTACCATTTTTCCTTTAGTCGTTTAAAAATGCTCCTCTCAGTCAGTAGAATCGTAAAGATATTGTTGTGCAATTATTTTATTGAATGCAAAGTTTAGTTTTTGAGTCTTTGTTTAAGCTGAAATTCCTTGTACGACATCCTCCTCTACCGGTACCTCAAGACGACAGGATGCCACATGTCAATGTCTTTCTTCGATTCCATTTAAATGCAATTCAATTGTTTTGATTTGCAAAGCATTTGGCGTAGAGTGGCGTAATATTCTGATTCATAGCTCTGGTTCTGGCTTATATATAAAAAAAAAAAAAGAAAAAAACCGTCGATCCGTCTGTCCATCACTCTGGGTGGCAATTGCATTTGCCCACACGTATGCTATAGTCATGAGAGGGAGAGACAATGAATTCCTCCCAAATGATATGCGAAATTCATTTTTGGTGGTACCACATAACCAGAAAATCTTCCAGTTTCCTGTGATTTTAATAGCGCGCTCATTACAGAAAGCTGCGCAAACCACTTTAAACACTTTTCTGAATACAATACTTTTATATATATTTATATATAGCTGGGTGTCTGTATATATATTTGTGTGTGTGTGTGTGTGTGTGTGTGTGTCTAACTCGCTTTTGCGTAGATTTCCCATTGCTTGACTCTGGCTCAGCTGATGTATTGTTTCCTCGACGTTGCGGTTGTTCATTTTAAGTTTTGAGGCTAAAACACATAAATTCACAAAACGTTTTCATTGTTTCGTAGGTTGTTGCCATTCGCAAAGTTTTCTGCATGTACGTTTGTATGTACATATGTACACAAGTACATGTATTTGTTTCTTTTCTTCTTCAAAACGTTTCGTTTTAGCATTTTTCTCTATTTTGCATATTCCGTTGATCATACATGTGCATTAATACAATGTTGTTGCTATTATTTCTGCTGTTGGCTACTACTCCATAATTAAATTTAATTACAAAGCTTTGTACCATTGTAGATACGATAAATTTAAAAAAGAAACAACACCAATAACAACAAATAAGAATCAAGCGATCATAATAAATAAATCACGGCGTTTAGAAACATTCATCAATAAAAATCTATGAAGGTAGTAGAAGCAAAGAACACACACACACAATAAAATAATAAATTAGTAAATAATTCAACTTTTGAACAATTTTCAAAGTTCAAAGTTTCACCTTGACTTGGTTTATTTTCAAGTTCATAATCCGTTGTCGGTGTTTAGATGAATATCAAGTTAAACTAGTAGGCTGCGTCAAGGCAAGCCTGCTTAAACCAATGATGAATCAATCCGTTAAGAACGATCATAGAGTTTTTCAGAACGTAGGAGAGGGGAGAGGAAAGAAAAGGCAAGAACGTGCTTTGCTCTCGAATATGGACGAATTTTAGTCAGGATCCTAACCTAATTTTATCAGCTGCCCGGATGCGGTTAAGTTAATACTTTTTGGCAAACAGTGATAACAGTGGTTTTATAATCATAAGCTTGCATGCGAAAGCTTTTCTGAAAGTTTAAATCCAGCTAAGGACATAGCTCCGGAACAATTTCGATAGAGCTAAGTATCATATGTGGCATAAGCCATTTCATATTTATCCTGAATGTCAACAGCTTGTATGTGAATGATTTTTTGCCAGTTTTAAAGCTAGGTTTAAACATAGTATGAAGCAATTTCTGTGCGGGTTTATTTAGTAACTGTGCACGCTATACGCCTGAGCAATGCATCAAATAGAAAGAAAATTGAAAGCAGCTTAGAAGGCTTTGAACCCAATCAGGCACCTAGCTTTCGCATAATCTCAATATGGGGCATAATACAAAACGGAATCCAATTTGTTTGTCGCCATTAAGAGCTTGAATCCGTTGGACACTACGTCTGGCCCGTTCATAGGCTTTGTACAATCTTAATAGGCCGTAAGCAGAATGATCTTTCTTTTATTGTCAGCACCGATACTTCGATGATACTCAGAACATATGAGCAGATAAGCAGTCCATAACTTGTTATTTTATGTAAGTTTCGTCGCCAATTCCAGGAAGGTTTTTTATCTTCGCGAGTTCTGGCATTGAAAAAGACCAGTAGCAGCTCGACTACTACCGCCTTACCATACCATTTCCCGTTAATCAATCTGCTTATTTAAGATTGTGGTGCGTATCCTTTTCTGGGCGATGATAAGTGGACAACGTTTCTGAGAAAAGGTCTGCTTCATTTCTATCTCCCTGCCAAAAAAAACTTTCGTAAACATTGTCCCCATTAGTCAATGAGAGCAAGAATGTTATAAAAACGGTTTAGAAGAATGATTGAATGTTTTAAATTAAATCAAGAATATTTCGAAAATCACATTACAAAATACACACAAAAAAAGTAAAATGGTTTTAATTGCAAGATGCAGAACTTACGGGATTGCGTGTGTAATATTTTCACGCGTCTTGACTTTAACGGTCATATGGCATGCATTACAGCTTGGTATGCCTTAATGGTTCATAAATTTACTGATTAAGAAATTTTTCGAACCAATTGCATGAAATTAGAAGTCGG